CCAGGCATTCCTTGCTTCCGGTTTTAAAGGACAAAACATTTCATCTTTCACTAATAAGTATAATGTTGGCTGTAGGTTTTAAAAAGATGATTTATCAGACTGAGAAAGTTTCCTTTTGTCTAGTTTTGGTATTAATGTAATGCTGCCATCAAAAAATGAGGTGGGAAGCATTCCTTCTTCTTCTGTGGTCTGGAAAATATGTGTAGAATTGGTATTTTTTTCTTACTTCAATACTTGGTAGAATTCACCCAATGAGCCATATGGGCCTGAAGATTTCTTTACTGAAGGTTTTTAACTGTGAATTCAATTTCTTTAATAGATGTAGGATAATTCAGGTTATCTATTTTTTTCTTGAGTGAATTTTGGTAATTTCTTTTAAGGAATTGGTTCATTTTTTTCTAAGTCCTTGAATTAGTCTTCTGGCCTAGGGCCTGGCACAAAGTGGAAGCTGACGGATATTGGTAGAATAGATAAATGAATGAATAAGCATAACATTAGGGAAGGAGGAAGCAACCCTCCCTTCTTCCTAGAGGAAAACTGTCATTCTTAGAAACAGGAAAGGACTATTGCAAGTAACTAGAGCCTGGGTGACTGTATACTTAACTCTGTGATAGGCACTGTGTGAAGTGCCATGATTATGTGAATCGTCATAAAACAAGGAAAATAATCATACTTTCCTTGTAATATTATTGGGAGAAATAAAAACGAGATGATTCATATAATCACTACCTAAGTAGTTTTCACATATGACTAAAGTTAAGTCAGAAACACAACTAGTAAATGAAGTTGGAATCCAAACCCATGTTTATTTCTGAAACCTTTTTAAAAAAACCTTCTCAGTGATTGGCATCTCCAGTGATAGATATTTGTATACAGATATTCATATTCTCCGCACCCCCCCAACCCTTCACCCTATCCTTTCCTGTTTCTGTGGGTTGGGAGTCTGGGCCTCCCTTAGTTGGGTCTTCTGCACTTTTTCTTTTTTTTGAGGGGGGTGGGGAGGGGCAGAGGGAGAGGGAGACAGAGAATCTTAAACAGGTTCCATGCCCAGCACCAGCCAAGGCAAGCCTTGAACTCACAATTTGAGTGAAATCAAGAGTCAGACGCTTAACCAACTGAGCCACCCAGGTGCCCCTGGAGACTTTTTTTAAAATTTAAAGCAGATAATCGTCCTGATTAGATTGAACCAGTTCTGTCTGCCTTACTCTTTGTGGGAAGAAGTTCCAGTATCAGTTCAGTTTTCAAAGCCTTTGTTATGTTGGTTTGGGTCTGTCCAATGCATGTATGTGTCAGGGATTGACCTAGGACTTAGGCAGTGGTTTATAGTTTAGTTATAAACTATACATATATATAATAAACTACATAAAGACTATATACACCTTATATAGTTCAGTAGTTTTTACTTCTCAAAGCCTTCGTTATCTGTTTTATATGTTCTGTGAAGGCACAGCTTAGGGGTGAGCCTGGAACTTATAGGAGATGCTTTTTCAGTTCTCTCATCTCTCCAGGATTTCCCCCACTTTCCTGCTACCAAAGGTCCTTTTTCCTGGTCTTCTAAAGATGGGGTTTCTTAAGAGTTTTAGCCACCCGTGGGACCGCCTTTGGGGAAAAGACATTAAAAGAAGAGGAAGAAAAAACTAACAGGAATTCCAACCCTTCTCCCTGGCAACCCCCACCCACCCTGTCCACCCATTCTTTAGGCCACATTTTCCCAGGTTCTCTGGCCAGGATGAGCTTTCTTTGGGGGTGTTAGGTGCTTATGCTGCCCTCTATTGCTATAGTGTAGTTAGTGCTTTGAGATGGAGCCATCCTCAGAGCAGGGCCAGAAGAGAAAAATAAATAAAGAATGGAAAGAAATAACCAAAAATGGGCTGTTCATGTAAAATGTCAATGATTTTAGAAACAGACAACCAGATTACTATTGCTCTGGTGGCTGAACTGGTTCAGTTTGCTTTGTGATCAGAAACAAATTACTCAACCTCCCTGCATTTCAGATTCCCTTATTAAAAGAGTGAGGGAGCGACATGACATATGAACAGATAGAATTAGATGATCACATGGAGAGAGCCTTGAAAAATAATCAGACTATCTTCTGTAATGTCTTTGAAAAGCAGAAAGATGATGGAACAGCAAACTGGAAGAGCACATGACAGTGGAGAAAGGACTTAAAAAAACAAAACAAAGTACAAAAACAGCAAAACCCATCTTGACAGATAGTGCTTAAGCTTCAAGGAAACTTTGGGCAACCCTACAATTGTTTTAGGGAGTTTGGACTCTATAGCTAATTGGGGCATAGTGGGGATGTGGGAGACCTTAGCTTTAATTTGCCTTGAGTTAGGAAATGGAAGTTGTAGAGCACCTAAGGGTTAAAATCTGGAGACCTGGAGAAAATTAAAGTGTTTCCAAAAACATACTATCAAAAAGAAAATGAGATTTTTTTTTTCTTTGATCCTTAATGTTAACCCATGCCAGCATTCAGCTTTTTCTTTGGCACCAAAAGGAAAAGCAATGATAGAACCAAAACAGTCAAAGATATTTCCTCAGTTTATTTTTCCCAACTTCAGAAATCAGCAGTTTATTTTTTATTTTTATTTATTTGACAGAGAGAGCACAAGCAGAGGGAATAGGAAGCAGAGGGAGAGGGAGAAGCAGGCTCCCCGCTGAGCAAGGAGCCCGATGCGGGACTCGATCCCAGGACCCTGGGATCACGACCCAAGCTGAAGGCAGCCGCTTAACCAACTGAGCCACCCAGGCGTCCCAAAAGACATCAGCAGTTTAAATACAAGCTACTTTTGGGGCACCTGACTGGCTCAGTCAGTAGAGCACTGGGGTTGTGAGTTCAAGCCCCACATTGGGTGTAGAGAGTACTTAAAAATAAAACCTTAAAAAAAAAGAAACAACAAAACTAAAAGCCACTTTAAAATATGGTAGGGTAGGTAACTGATATTAAGCTAGTCAGGAAGAAAAAAATGTTCCCTAGAGAAAAATTTATTAGGAGCCAAATCACAAGTCAAAAATAAAATAAAAATTTAAAAAGCATATGAATATTCATTATTTAATTAACTAACATTTATTAAACACACCACCAATGTTCCAAGTACAACAGGAAAATCAATTTACATTTGAAAATAAAAAAACTGCCCTGTGCCTTGATATTGGTTCTTTATTTAATTAAGCATTATTTTTAGGCTAAGAAACCACCACAGAGGGAGAAAAGAGAAAAATCTATATATTGCATGAAAGTAAAATAGGAAAACTACATTTATGTATTTTGATAACTTATTATTTTTAAAAGGAAGATCTTGCTTGTAGAGAAAATTACCTCTACTTTCCTGATCCTGATTACCAAGTTGCTTACCTCAATACCAAAATTAAACATTATAGCATACAACTTCATTATCTTTCCTGAGTGAAACCAATTCATGGGGAAACCATAGAATATGGCTGTGAGAATAACTCACAGATATATACATTCCTATGTAATGATATAAGTTGGAAACCTATGGTCCTTTCTAAATGAAGTTTTTATTTTCCTAGGCTTCAATTAAATACATTTCCCTCTATACAATTTTCCACAGCAGATTCTCCTAAATTCTAGCAATGCCAAAAAAGCCTCACTAGGTTTTGGTGAAATCTGATTTGATGAATTTATCAAATATAAATCATTCTTTTTTTTTTTTTTAAGATTTTATTTATTTATTTGCGAGAGAGAGAATGAGAGACAGAGAGCA